CCTGGCAGGCACTGTGCCACTGAGCTATATCTCTGGCCCAAGGGTAGATTTTTAAAACTCATATTATTGACATTAAAACTATATCACCATTACTTAAGATTTCGTATATATTTATCCATGCGTAGTTTTATTCTACTCTACGAATTATATCCTAGTTTTCCCCCAATGTTAAAGTAATTTAGAAATATATAACAGAAATGTATCAACAAGTTTAATGCTGGAAAGATAATAAAGTCATTGCATTTATCCTGTTTATGGAATATTTTTCATGTCCCTTTTCCAGCCCGCTCCAACAGAACGGCATAGTAGTTTGGATGGTGATCTAGACAATTTATAGAAAAAAAGCAGTTATTTCGGTGACCCTAAGTGTAAGAACTGGGCCTTAGTCTTACAGCTTTGTTACCTGATTCGAGGGAAATGCCAATGAATTTTACAAATCTGACCAGTGGCAGAGGGTAATAAATTACAATGGGTCCTGGGAAAAGAGCAATTTACTCAACAATCTCTACTTGAGCTGTAGCACTAAGGAAGCAATGCAGTTAGTATGAAAGAGCAGGAGGAGTTAAACTCACTGGAAGGGGCAAGCAGTCTCTTGTGTAGAGAGTTTCTCACAAACAGTTGTCTTCAGGTCGAAGGAAAGCCCACAGAAGCGACAAGATTCCATGGACCACTGTCCACACAACAAGAAATTCCAGCTGGATTACTGCTCAGCTGCTTCCTCCCCGGAAACGCCTCCTCCGCCCCCACCCAGCACACTCGCGAGCGCGGGCACACACACACACACACACACACTCTCCTGAAGAATCCATGGCCTCAGAGTTTTACATTCTGTCCTTGTCTGGCACAGCTGCAGCTGGATGGCAGAGGTCAAGGTGGGGGAGCCGGCACATCCGGCGCCAGCTGCTAACTCCGGGGATGATTCTTTCTTGGAGTCGCGTACCCTTGGGAACCCAGGGTCTCAAGCAACTCCTGTTGGTCACTGAAAACCACATTTGGTGCAGAACTCAAAATCCAACTTGAAAACAGAAGAAAAGAACAACTACTGACAATATACGGTAGACACAAGAGCACGTAACTCAAGGAGTCCATGAAGATGGAGTCAGTTTCTAAACTCTGAGTTCCGTAGTATCCGCGCCCACCGACACCACATCTCTTCTACATTTTCCCCCGATCCTTATCATTTTATGTTACATAGTTTTACGTGGTTGTGATTGGTGGAATTCAATGATCTTGTTTTTGTTTTTTTTCTTTGCAAGGATTGTTTAATTTTCCTTCTTAAAGACTATTTGATCAGATAATTTTAATAGTTCTTTTCCTTCTTTTTGGAAGAATGCTGTGATTCTCTGTTTAATTGTTTTATTATTCATTTCACTGGCATGTTTGCCAGAACATAGTAAGGAAGGCAAAATTAGTTTGATTTAGGCAATGGGCTATGCTTAGAATCCTTAAAATTTTTTTTAGTAATTTAAAAAGAAATTTAATTTTAAAAGTCAAAGTGTAATTTTTAATCATGTACTTTTTAATACCTACCTTCTCAGTCTACACAAAACCGTAAGACAAAAAATCGGGAAATACAGTTCCATGTATATCTCTTAGGGCTTGTCAAAGGATTCATGCATATGATGTTACTGCTGAACCAACATTTTCCTACCATGATCATTTCCCATTTTCAATATCTGACCAATGCTGTATCTTTCCACTCTTCCATTTCCATTGAAGAAGTGAAGTAGGCTGAAGGTATAGTTCAGTATAACAGTTTGTGCTTACCATGAGCAAGGCCCTGGGTTTTATCCTCAGCACAAAAACAAAACAAAACAAAATAAAAATATCCCCCAAAGTGACACAGATGCTCCACTTTTACCATCTTAAGTAGAATTTTTGTTGAGACAGAGTCTCCCTATGTAGTGCAGGCTGGCCTGGACCCACTATGTAGCCCAGGCTGGCCTTGACCTTGCAGTGATCCTCCTGCCTCAGCCTCCCAAGTGCTGGATTTACAGGCATACATCACCATTCCTGGCTTTAAATAGAATTTTGAATAGAAGTAGAATACTGTGTGTTCAGTAAGTAATAACTGCCAATTCCATGGCAAACCATGATGCCCAGTGTTTGCTCTGTGGATCATTTATATTTTGTATAAATATCACATTTATGTTTTATAAACTTTTTTCAGACATGGGACATAGCCCATTAATTAGTGAGTTATGAAATCAATTCAGTGAGTTTCAGATAGAATTTTATACAACATGACATAAAAAAGGAAATATCAGAATGCAATATATGTAATAATAAAAGAGGGTTGTTTTGTGAAACTTGTTTTTGCTTTGTGCCTGTGGAGGGTGTGTGTAAAGTGCATTTCTTTCTATGATCTGTCTTAAACAGTTTGAAAGTCACTGTCACAAAGCATGTATTTCTCCTGAGCATAATAAAATATTCACTGTAGGACAAAGGAAAATAGCCACATTTATTTTTCTATAATTAATAATCAATTTTCTTTTATATTCATAAACACAATTACTCTGCTTTTTATACTGCAATAAAGGTATTCAAGCCATTTAAAAGTAATTTTCTATTCATGTTCCATGGGTACCATTAGAGAACTGATAGAATAGCATTTGTTGACATTATTTCCTACAAATGGATTCTCACTCCTCTTGCATGTACCTTTCATGAAATAATAACAGATCCAAAGACTCATTTTCAACTTACTGTTCCCTAATGATGACTCATCTTCATAGCAAAGAGGTGACAATTCCTGTTTATGACACATTGATCTATAACAAAACACCATCTCATTTGAAATGGATGGAAAGTAATTCGGACTAGTCTACATAAGCGTTCACACCTACTCTCACACAGCCTTCCTTACTAAAACACATCAACTGTTTATGAATTTTCCTCTTGAAAGTTATAATGTGTATGGAGGACATATCAGAAATTAAACTGATAAGAACAGATACTGCACTTGAACAGATACTACAACAGGCTGAGAAGCAATGAAAGTTGTAATGCAGGCAGAAGAACAACAGCTAACTTAATTGCATCCTGCACTGCGCATTTCAAAGCTATGGGGGAGCAAAGTAGAAAATAAAAGGCAACATCTGTCTTGAGGCGACAATGTTCACATTGTGACCCTGCTGGGGAACAAATGTAGAAAAACCACACTGCCTTGAAAATTCACAAACCACCTTAGGAAGTACTGACACCAACAGTCAGAACGGAGGGTAGGCGCCCTTAGCAGAATGAGTTCTACCTCTGAATGGGATCAAAATAAGCCGCTTTAATTTTTCTGCACTGACTGGTTAGACCAGTGTCTTAGCCACTTTCTGGTTGCTGGGACAAAATATCCAACACCTGCAACTGAAAGGAGGCCAGGCCGATGCTGGATCATGGTTCTAGTCTATGGTTGGCTGTCTCTGAGGCAGAAATGGCACTGGGGAGGAAAACTGCTCACCCCACAGCAGGCAGGAAGCAGAGACACAGAGAAGGGAGGTGCTGGGGACCAGGATACACCTTCCAGGTCACACTCCCAGACACGCACCTCTTCCGACCGGCGCCACCTTTTTTTTTTTGGTACCGGGAATTGAACTCACGACTCTGTACTTGCCAGGCAGGCGCTGTGCCACTGAGCTGTATCCCTGGCCCGCCGGCGCCATCTTAACAGCGTATTCAGTTATGGACGCATCAGTGGATGAATCCACAGACAAGTATAGCACCTCTATGCTCCAATCACCTTCCCAGATCTCTGCTTCTGACTCCATATTTTGGGGGACATTTATATTTAAATCTTAACAACCATTCACTAGTTAAAAGGAATAGCCATTTCTAATGGCAAGGCCTTTCCATGGGGAGCAAGTAGAGACTCCAAAGAGCAATGAAGATGCCAGGTCTCTAAGTCACGATTTAGTTCGAACCATTGACTGAGCCCTTAGTGCTGGACCAGCACCGTGCTAGGGGGTTGTTGAAGAGATGAGTTTGTGAACACGTGGGAGGGTTCTGAAAGCACATGGAAAATTACAGGTCATAGGCTAAGGGTATATTCAAGAAACCGGTGACCTAGGTGTACTCAAGAAACAAAGAAGGCATGGAAGAGAACCACGAATTCAGAAGGGGACCTGGCAAAGGTCCAGGGAAGTTTCTTAAGCAGGTGATGTTTGGGCTGAGCCTTGGAGAAGAGATGGGGTGCCCCCGGGAAACTTAGGTTACCAGCATGATGTATGTTCAGGATATTGCATTGTAGGTAAAACAACATGAGTTTGGCAGATTTGGAAATAACTACAATTTCGTTTGGTTCCACCAGCACTAGATGTGTTCAGGATACCGTTCAGGATACTACGAACAGTTAGGGACGGTGGAACACTCAGCAAGACAAGGGAAAACACGATCAAAGCTTGAGAAAGATCGGTGTCCCACGTGGAAATTAGAGTGGAGACAGACACACAGGTATCCTACTATTAAGGCACCTTTAAAAGGACTAGGCTTGTTTAGTTATCCAAAAATACCGTTCAGGAAACTTTAATGCATCAAAAGAAAAATTAAGAACACTTAAAGTGACACTCGTTTCCAGTCTTCCTGTTCCTTCCAATTCTTATCACAGCTTCTTAACACATGCACCACCTTCACACTCGCAAACTGGACTTTCTAATGGTAACTGGTAAACTGTCTTCTGTGTAATCACCATGTAGGTCATTTTTAATAGTTGTATTTTATTGCACGTTTACTATAGACAACCATTGTTTTTCTATATGTCATGCAGGCAGTTCCCAGATTTTCCCGTGACAAATGACATTTCCATGAGTAGCTTTTCATGCACATTTTATTCTGTCCTTTCCTGTGAGGCGAACGTGATAACCACTACACTGCGGAAACTGATGATTCTGTCCTTTCCTGGAGGCAAGTTCTAAGGCGTGAGATTATGAGGCCGCAGCGTATATGTTTGTTAATAAATATTTGTATGGTATGTTTATAAATATTTGTAAGGTGGGGAAGGGCCTGGTACTTACTGTTTTGCTCCAAGTAAGGCCTGTGGTGTGGTGTTCCTTGATGTATGCCTGAAGCTCACTCCAAATATTCAAATACGACTTCACCCAATCCACGTGGCGCAGGTCACTTTGTTACAAAAGAGAATGGAAGAGAGTAGAGTTAGGCTCGAAAGTAAAATTTTAAAAGGGAGGGGGCACAGTTACCCGGTATCTTGGGCTTAGACCATGCCAGAGTGATGATGGTTGTCCTAGCTGGAAGAGAACTCTGAAGGGAAGTGACCCAGCACTGCCCTAATGGAGGTGGCACATGGCCAGTGCCCCAAGCTCCAGATGTGGACGGAGGTGGCAGAGCAGGATCCCCACTGAACAGAGCCGACCGAGGTCATGTGTCCTCCTGCCTTGCTAAGGGGAGACAAAGGCGGAGGGAACACCGTTTCTTTCTGTAGAGCTCTTGATACAAAACAAAGAACAACTGTTCTCATGAAGGAGAGTAGGATTTTAAAAAGTCCTTTAGTATGTTTTCTAATAATTTCATTGAATTCCTTGGTTAAAAGCATAACTGAAGAGAATTTTAGTCATTATGACCAATAAGGAGTTTCTACCTAAGAAGAAATGTTTTCTTATCAAAAAGTAACACCAATACTTTTTTTATTTTTATTTTTGGTTTTTCTCTGGTACCAGGAATTGAACTCATGACCTTGTACTTGCCAGGCAGACGCTGTGCCGCTGAGCTAAATCCCTAGCCCCAATACCAATACTTTTAAAGCGATCCACTTCAACTACCTTCCTTTGATATTCTTGACAGTGTAAGCTTGGAGGGCCATGGCCAGGATTTTTATCTCCATTTTATTGAACCAAGAGCTAGTGAAATATTCACGTTTCATAACAGGATGGGCATACCGGATTGAGAGAACTGCTAGGAACTTACAGATGGGCCCAAAGAGCTGCGTTTCCTTTTGACAGTGTTCACCCACAAAACTCTTGTTCCCGCTTTGCAGGAAGTAGTAGTAGATGAGAAAGTGATGCCAGTGGAGTTAATAAAAATTTAATTGTGTACCCGGCTCATTAATCTGAGGATGAGCACTGAAGGAAAGCTCTCTTCTTAAAGCTCATAACCCTAACCACTTATCTCTAGGTGTGTTTTGTTTTGTTCTTGAAACACCCGAGCACCAGCTGCAGGTCTAGAATCCTGCCCTATTAAGGCAATCCTTTAGGAGAAGAGAAGAGACAGTGAAGTCCTAGTCAGTTACTCCCCACAGGTGGAAAACATGAATGTGGCAGCTTTGTGTCACATTTTTAGATGTACTGATTATATTAGTCAAATTGGTGAAGAATCCACTGTTACTCTCTCACTTTCCCAGGTCTCTACTGACTTGTAAGATTTTGTGAGGGTCTTAGTACATACAGTGCCCTGTACAGGGGAAGCGGTCTAGACAGCAACTATTATTACAGCACAAAACTTTCTTTGGTACAAATGTACACTCATACTTATATATGTGGTCATTTAACATGCAAATACATACATGCAAATATGTACATACAAAACACATGCGTAAGTCTGCAGACACTAGAAATATCATGATGCACATTTTTTTTTTTTTTTTTT